ACGACACGCTATTATTTTCGAGAGTTTTATGTGGCACGATTCATGCAATAAAATGTACCTCTCCTAAATCAATTCGAATTAATGTTCAAAGGTTATACGTTATTGTAAGGGGAATGTGATGGATTTTGGATCATTTTGGCAACTTTTCTGACAGAGTATTGATTTTCACGTATGACGTCCAATGGGCTTAGTTTCTGTCACAATGAGTCCGATTCACTCACAAAATTTCAGGAAAAATGGTCATGTGGCTCAAAAGAAAAGCTCTTTTGTCCCCTCGGTGCCGTCGTGTACTGTGAATATGAGTGCTTGATGATAAGTTGAATTTTTAGAGAGGTTTCTCTGCAGTATTTAACTTACTATTACTATACGACTGTGACATTTAATTTATGCGACGATAATTATTAAATGCTGGGAGTTTTCATCTTCATCGACGAGTTTTAGCTATAAAATGAAAGGAATGCATATTTTCACCATTACAGATGAGAAGGAACTATTTCTGACAGATATTTTGTTTTTGTTTGAACCTACGCTTATACGTTAGAACCAAGGACTTCTCAACACATATCAATATAGAGAGAGCATTCAATTTGAAAGGTTATGCGTTTCATGATCAAATGACTGCCATCATCGTTTGTCCAAAAGAATCGAACTGGCTTTTCCACTTGAAAAGGTACGGACTAGTACACATTAAGGTAATGCATCAATTTCGCAAACTGTTGTGAGGCCTTGGCGAGCCATTTCTTTACACCTTGACTTTGCGGTCGATTTTTTTCATTTTGAATGAACGACGTGAAAATCTAATTCAATACCCATTTTTAAGATGAATTATATGGGGACTTGAAAGCATTTGCGATGTGTAACAAATTGAGAACGTTTAGAATAACAATATAGAGTGGTTTTGAAGGAATCCTTTCCTTTCCTATACCGCTTCCGACTACCAGAAGTGGAATTGAAAGGAATGGCGAAAGGGACCATTTTGGACTTTTCTTATCCTTTTCAGTTGACAGTTTCAACTTGCTTGAAGTAAGTTTGCACATGCGACTCATTCTTACAATATATCACTGCTAAACATGCTCTCCGTCAACGACATCGTTACATTGTTACCATTTGCAAAGAACAAGGCGTCGCCACTTCCTCATGCGCATGTACGTCATACAATACATTGGGCCACCTGTCATCCCGAACGTCGTATTTTGTCTGGACAAGCACCCCAATGCAAATGCTTTTTTTGGACTTCCGTTTTGACGTTCATGGCGTCCAGAAACTGGGATATCTGCTTGGAATACCTGCCACTGTAATCACCTCAGCTGGATCACGAGTTTGCCGTGACGAAGCTAGGTGTATTCTGCTCAATCGACTGACCTTTCCAAGGCGATATCATGACATGGCGCTCATGTTTGGCCGATCAAGAGCCCAGCTTTGTGACATCTTCCTCTACATGGTGCACGACGTATTCGACCGGTGGAACTCAAAACTCTACTTGAACACGAAATTGCTCCGCACATGTATGGACCGCTACTGCCGCGCTATTCACTCGAAGGGTGCTCCATTGGACAGTGTTTTTGGTTTCATTGATGGAACAAAGGTCCAAATGTCACGGATCACGGCGAACGGAGATGGTCGAAACTTGCAGAAGCTCATCTACAGTGGTCATAAACGCATTCACTGTTTGAACTTTCAAGCTATTTCAGCGCCTGATGGTATTTGTGTGCACTTTTGGGGACCGTGCGAGGGCCATCGCCACGACTCCGCAATGCATGCAATGAGCAGGCTTTTACCTGCGTTCGATCAGCACTCGAATATTTTCGAGTCTAAGTACGTCTACGGAGATCCAGCTTATGGTGTGACCAAGTACATAAATGAGTGGATATCGTGGCATCAACATGACCCCCGAGAAAGAGAACTTCAACAAGTCCATGAGTCGAGTTCGACAAGCCGTGGAATGGAACTTCAAGGTCATGAAAACTTTGTGGCCCTACATTACATTCAAAAACCTTTCGAAACTCATGCTATCACCCGTTGCAAAAATTGTTGGCGTGGCCATGCTAATCACGAATTATCATTGTTGCCATTTCGAGGAAAATCAAATCAGTATGTACTTCAATGAACTACCACCGACACTCGAAGAGTACCTTGATACTGTAGAGGTAGTTGATGTGTAAAAGACTATAGTAGTGCCATTTTTACAGTTTGTTAACCAGTGTCGAAATCAAAGCAGTCATGGATGACTGAAGTAGTTGGAGTTGTTGCAATTGTGCTTCACGTACCTTAGCTTGGGCCTCGCGTTCCCTGGCTTGCACCGCGCTCTTTTTGATGTTCTTCGAGCTCCTTTTCGAACATAAACTTCCGCAGCTCCAGCTCACTCTTGTTCGCATCATTCATCAGCGTCAGGACCTTGGGCATCTTGCCACCTGCAGCTTCATCGTCACCTTCACGATTCTTGCGCTTGCCTTGCGATTTCATTTCTTCTTCTCGCACTAAAACAACAGACTCCTCAGCACGAGCTGCAGCCTCCGCCTCACTGTCTGCACGATCCGCTTCTTCTTTCTTGGCCTCTTCAACCTGCGAGCTCAAGTCATCCAATAGCACAACACGCTCGTCTACAACTTCATCGGATCCCGAAGGCCGATTTGATGCAACGTTCCTCTCCTTGTGGTCTCGGAGAAGCAGGTTGAACCGTGCTTGCGCTCTTTTACCATCGAAGTGGCGTCGATTGAACTCGTCGAGTGTGTTAAGATTGCGCGCAACTGAGTCCCACACATCCATGATGCGGCCTCTTCGTGCAATATGCGGTCTTTCAACTGATACCTGAGTCAGGAGCAAGATATCTTCCCGCTCATTGAATGCACGCCGCTTCGATGGGGTTGCCATGGTCATCTTGAGTGGGAAAAGATTGTATTCCTGTCAGAGGTCGTGGGAAAGGATTAAATATAGACTCTCGGGAGTTTCTCTAAGGAAAATGGGAGTTTTGAAACGAGCAGATGGCGGGAAGCCGAACAGGAAAGGAAAGGACTCCTTCAAAACCTCTCTAATATGACGAAGTTTTCGTGGAACGATATTTCGCGAGCTGTACAAATGCCTTTGGTTTGTAAACTCTTTTGAAATATCCACAAAATATTACCCATGAATATAATGCACTTCATCATAAAGGTCTCGACAACAACTGTGGAATATATACTTTAATGAAATATAATATCAAGTAAATAAATTTCACCGGTCATTTTTTCGCTATCTCTTATGGACGGCAGCGGCATGTAGTCTGGCACCGGTGAAGTGCGCAAGTTCTGAGGCAACCCTTTTTACGCCCTTTCGACTTCGGCGGTGGCAATGTCAACGCCTCGTCGTGCGAGTGCTCCCTCGTCTTCCACAACTTGCCCATTCCAAGCCCAAGCGGGACTCCGATTGCCTTCGCCACTTCCAAACTTAGGCCCGCGCTTTCATATGGAGATGGCACCAGTGGTGAGTTGCATCTTCAAGTACTTAAACAGTGAAGTCCTCTTTATGGAGGAACTGCGAGCAACAGCGGTAACACTTTCACTGCTCGACGCGTTGGATCGCTGCCTCGATGGCGCCTTTTGTTGGTTGCATGTTTAAGAGTTGTCATTCTCTATGAAACAAACTTAATTGCAGCGCGCAAAAAATATGAATTGTTTCGGAACTGTAATGATATTGGTATGAATATTACCACGTCCAATAAAAACCCTTCGCACCACGTCGATGGCCTCAAATTGGCAGAAACCACAACAGTTCGCGAAATTTATGGCGTTCACAAAAATGATGCGTTACCTTAGTGCGAGTCCTCACCTTGGCCAGGAGTACCCACAAAATGTAACATATTCATTGAAAAAAATTGTTAAGGCCGGGTCTGGATGCCACCAAAAAATTATATCACATTTTCTGTGTCAAATCGATCTCCCAAAAAAAGTTGTCAACA